AGCTCCCCTCCCAGTTCCCTTTCTTCAGACTCCCTAACCCACCCCTGCTATGGTCAGGGGCTGCACTTGGGCTTAAAAAAATTTTTTTTAATCATTTTATTGGGGGCTCTTACAGCTCTTATCACCATCCATACATACATCCATTGTATCCAGCACATTTGTACATAATGTTGCCACCATGTGCAAAATACTTTCTTTCTACTTGAGCCCTTGGCATCAGCTCCTCAGTTTTTCCCCTTCCCTCCCCCAGCCTCCCTCCCTCCTTCCCTCCCTCCCTCCCTCATGAACCCTTGGTGATAATGCTCTACCGTTATCATGGAATTCTTCATTTTGGAACCAGTTACCCCTCCCACATTTCTATTGTGCATTGGCCCAGTGGATCATGTAGCCAAAGTTGGTTTCAAATATGAGGGGGTGTCAAAAAGTTGGTGGGGGGAAAAATGAAATGAAGAGATCATGGAGTTTTTCCATTAACTTTTGAAGCCCCTGCTGTAGAGTGTGGATGTAAGTTTCTTGGTCTTTCTGGGCCTTTCTTCAGCTTCTTTGCGCAGGCCTGTCTTATCTGCGGTGGAGGCATTTGAAGAATGCACTTGGTGGGGCAGGCCTCAGTCCTGCTACCTGCCACACTGGCCTGTCATTCTTCATCGGCCACTCCTGCCTTTCCAGCCTTCCAGAGCCTTCCAGCCCACCTTGCTGGGCTTTCGGTCAGTTGTGTCCTGTGTATATGTGTGGGGGCTGGAGAACACTGGGTCATGGCTGGGGTGGGGTGGGGTGGGGTGCACGATTGATCTGGACCCCTCACGAGCTATGCTTGAATTGCCACAAAATAAAACCTGTTTAGAAAAGTTGTTGATCATGAACAGTCGAGTTCATGTAACACATAACTCTCTTAGTTAAAAGTACATTTTTTGATGCTGTAATTCACCTCCGCATTCCTGGGTTCTAGTGGTGGGCCCTCAGATACACCTTGGGCTGCTAACTGCAAGATCAGCAGTTCAAAAATCAGCCTCTCCACGGGAGGAAAGGATGAGACTTCCTACTCGTGTAAAGAGTTACAGCCACAGAAACCCACAGGGGCAGTGCTGCCCTGCCATGTCGGGTTTCTATGAGTCGGGATTGCCTGGCAGCGGTGAGTTGGGTTTGGGTTTGGGGTGGTAGGCCTGGCACAGTGGGTAGGGCGTTTGTGAAGCAGTGGCTCCAGTGTCCGGCTGCTTGCCAGGCTGATTACAGAGGACAAGCCCTGACCTCTAGGAGGATCGGATGCTTAATGCTCAATTATGGGATTCGTGCCACGGCTGCCCTTGGTGGCCTGGATGCCCAGAGAGAACTGTACGAGAAGACCCTCCTGCCTTCCGGGGCGGGGGCTTGAGCTCTACTTGCGGAGTGGAGGGCCTCTGCAGTCATGCTTGGGAACCTCCCCTTAGGCCAGGAGAGCCCAGGAATGTTTTCTAGGCTGGAGTTTGCCCTTAAAGGTTAAACAGAGCCTCTTTACTCCTCTGCTGCCAAGGCAGACACTTGAGACCCCTGGGGAAGGAGCTGAGGGGGAATTCAACCAGTCAGATCCAAGGGTTCCCAAGTCCATGTCTGAGTCCTGTGGTCCAAGCAACCTCCCCAACGTTGTCGAGGTCCGAGAGGCCCGTTTGGAGGCAAAGGCAGGTCTGAAGTCCCTTGACGTGGCAGTGACCCAGAGCTGCAGTGTTGGGAGCGGAGAGGGAAGGTCACGAGTGAGCAGGATGGCCCGTTGGGTACTGGCGGCAAAGGCGGCGTTATCCAGCACGCACGTTTGTGATGGGCGGGGCTTGCTCTGGAGATGAGTTTCTGAGGAAATGCCCTTCCCCATCTACAATCTGACTCCCCACCCACCCCACCTCCGTCTACTAGATCTCTTGGGGCTGAATTTGACAGTGGGGAGGGAAATTTATACTGTTGGGGAGCAAGGTGACAAGCTCCTCGTATACATGTTGAGTAATCCCAGTTGTCAGACCAGAGAAAGTAACCACAGTGGGGTATTTTTAAATGGCCAGTGGAGTTTTGAGAGCTTCTAACCCAAAGTACACGTTTTCCATGTACTTGAACTCTGCTGCACTTCGCCCACACCCAGGAACTGGTCTCAGTGGCTTGTTTCTTTGTTTTCTTCTGTCTTTTGAGCACTGTTCATGGTTTGCTTATTTTTCAGTTCTGTTAAGCACACCACGTTCTGGATGAATAGGGGTTCTTTAAGAGCAGTGGGCCCCCAAGTGTGGGGTGAGAGAGAGGAAGGGGCTGGAATGGCAGTGGGGTTTTGAGGTCTGGGCGGGGGCAGGAGGCTGGACCCAATGACTCCACAGGCCTACCGTGGCTCTGGTGTGTTTGTTCTGTCTGGTTATGGCGTGTGTCCGACTCGCACGCAGGCCCCAGAGCAGCAGGCTTGCTCCCCTCCCCTCCACTCCCCCCTCCAAGGTGCGGGCTTTCTGGTGACGTCAGCAACTTCCAGCTCTAGGCCCCGCCCCTCCCTCCGCTGCTTTTGATCTCACCTCAAGCAGCCCAGAAGGAAGGAAATGCCGAAACCCTGGGTTTTCCAAAGACCTGGGGACCCAGCCCTGGCAGCCCAGACCATTAACTGCCACCCCACCGTGGGTGGGTCAGAAACCCCGGAGGTTCCCAGAGAAGGCAGGTCCCAGTGTGCTCCACCCAGCCGCAGCCAGCTCGTGTTCTGTGCTTGGGCTTTGGAGGAAGGGGTCCCGAACTGGCTGGTGGGACCATTGGAATAGAAGGGCTGAAGGGGAGCAGTGACGTGGAGCAAAACAAAACCTCCCTGACATCCAGTTTGATGCGGACTCATAGCGACTCTATAGGGCAGGGCAGAACCTCCCTTCGAACCGCCCTGTGGGTTTCCGAGGCTGTCAACTCTTTATGTGGGTAGAAAGCCTCATCTTCCACCTTTCTCTTGTGGAGCGGCTGGTGGTTTTGATCTGCTAACCTTGTGGTTAGCGTACCGATGCATAACCCCTGGACACCAGAGACGTAAGTTCCCCCTTGAGGTGGTTGTCAGGATCCAATGTGATAATTTCTGAAAAGGACTTATGGATGTCCCTGGAGTGTGACATGGACTTCAGAAGATAAATATTAGCAGTGGCTTGCTTAAGGTCTGTGAGAAAAACAAGCTCCAGCTTCAGATGTGGGACTGGGATCTAGCCTGGTGAGCTCTTCGCAACCTGACATGTCTGTAGCATCCTAAGCAGCCTGCCCCCAGCATGTGCTCAGCCCCCCCCCCCCTCACCAAGGCCCTCCCCTCGCTTCTTGGCTAGGGTCTTCAGAGGAGAAGCCCTTGGTTCGCCTGGGAAAACCATGTGTCTGAAATCGTTGAGGGCGGCCTGGAATCCCTTCATACACCATATGTCGTTTCTCTCGTGGCGCTTAAGCAATTCCCAGGGCCTTTCAAGGAAACCAGTCGCTAAAGATGGCGGACTGTGTGAGCTGGTGTTTACTACTGCAGATGAAGGCCATGTGCCCCTCCCCACTTCAGTTAAGCTCCCCCTTTACTGAGGACCCCTGGCTGTACACGGTTTCTGACCTCAGGGGCAGAGACCTGTGGCATTTATCTCCCGGCACTCTTGCCAGTGGCCTTGAGTGGGTAGCTTGACCTGGCACCTGGCTTCCCCGGGAGGTTGTGGGTGGTGGGCATGGGAAGAGACTTGACTTCTTCCATCCCAGAGCCAGCGGCAAGGTGGACCCTGATGGCTCCTTACAGCTGCTGTTTCATCTCCTGCACTAGGAAGGGTGGACAAAGGGCCAGCAGGGTCTGGGGGCACTGGCAGACATCCTGGCGGGGGTGATGGATCAGATCCTATTCCCATCTTCTCTCACTGGTGAGAAGCCAGAGCCACGGAGTGGAAGTCCCAGGAGGCAGCACATCTAGTTGGCTTCAGAAAGTGTTTCCTGGTGGGTGCACAGGGGTAGCTTATTTTGGGCACCTTCAGATCAGGCTTTGAGAACAGCTGGGAGAGGGTGACCGGCCACCCACTGGGAGGACTCTTCTTCTCCCTTGCCGGTGGCACCAGGTCACTTGCTGCCTGAACCTTTATGACTCGTCCTCAGTTTATCTTCTGTCTCCTGGAGCCTGGAACTCCTGCTCCAGCACTGCTCCTGGCTGAGATGAGTCTCTCTCCTTTAACAACGGATGGCAGTGTGGCTTTCTCGAGGTCTTTATTAAAAAAAAGTACAGGATGTATGATCCAGTGTGGGGTAAGAGAAGAAGAGAGGCAGACAAAGGGCACACCTGCCTCCAGGGAGTTGGGGCGGGGTGGGGGCACAGAGAGTTGCCTCCTGGCAGACTTTCGGATTGTGCCCACCTTAGCTTTGCATTATGGGCCAGTCCTGCCTCTGAATGTCTGTGCCCCACCTCCCTCCCACGTATAGACCTAGGCCCACCGTCCGGTATGGTAGCTGCATTGGCTCTTTGTGCTTCAGTACAGTTGAATCATGTTTACAATTCACTTCCTCCGTGCTACTCACCACACTTCAAGGGCTCTCTAGCCCCGTGGCTGCTCTGTTGGGCAGCCCTGGTGTAGAGAATGGAGAACTGGAGGGATCCCTGGCCTTGAGGCCGGCCCTGACGGCAGGAGCCAGTGAGGGCAAGTGTAGCTGCATATGGGTGGGAACCATCAGTCAGTCATAATGGAAAGGCAGGGGGTGAGGTATGCAAGCAGGCTGGGTGGCAACAGAGGGCTCCTTCTTGGGAAGTTCTGCTGATGTGATGAGTCATTGGCCCAGGACCCAGGACCCCGAGGATCGCCTGCCCTCCCCTCTGCATTGCTAAAAGCAGGCAGGCCAGGGTCCTTCTTGGGATGCCTGGAAGTTCAGAGGACCGGAAGAGCTGGAGGAAACGATGCGCTTCAGTCCAGTGTTATTTGCACGACTTCCTGGCTCATCTCTCATCCCCTGAGAAAGCCCTCTAAATGCTTCTGGCCTGACTCTGGCCCCAGTGCATAACACCTTGTCATGCTTCCTTCCTTTTCCAGGTGAAAGAGCTTGTCCTGGACAACTGTCGGTCGATCGAAGGCAAAATCGAAGGCCTCACAGATGAATTTGAAGAACTGGAGTTCTTAAGTACAATCAACGTAGGCCTCATCTCAGTCGCAAACTTACCAAAGCTAAACAAACTTAAGAAGGTCAGTCCGAGTTGAGAGAGCGAGAGAATGTGTGTGTGTGTGTGTGTGTGTGTGTTGGGAGGAGGGGTTGGTAGGAGGAAGAGATTATTACCTGGTATTGAAGAGGAGCATAATGAATTGGAGGCCAGGCCAGGTGCGTGCAGCAGCCTGCCAGAGAACTCTGTCTGGGGAGAGCGGGGCATCCCTGGGCCGAGGCAGTCTTCATTGTAAGAGCTGTTTTTGCTTCTTCTCTCCCTGCCTTGTTGTTTAGCTCGAACTAAGTGATAACAGAATCTCAGGGGGCTTGGAAGTATTGGCAGAAAAGTGTCCGAATCTCACGCATCTAAATTTAAGCGGCAACAAAATTAAAGACCTCAGCACAATAGAGCCACTGGTAAGTCCTTTAGACCCTCCTTCCCCAGCCTGGGGCTGGGAGGCCGAGAGGGTTGCTCTCAGGAATACTGCTTCTCTTCCTTGGTGCTGTTCTCCTTGTCCTGTGTGAGGGGCTTGGGAGCTACTCTTCCTGCTTTCACAGGGAGACCAAGGCCCCTACGCGTGGGGTGGCCTGACCAATTGGGCCGGCAGTAGGAGGCTGGGCTGAGGACCCTGGTTTCAACTTCGGGTCTGGTGCTTCCCCCTTCCCTTCATGGTTTCTGCTTGGCCTTGGGGACCTGAGCTGCAGTGTCGTTGGCTGACATGAGGCTTTCTGCTCCTGTAAGGTTACAGTCTCCACACGGGCAGTTCTCCCACGCCCTGTAGGGTCGCCAGGCGACATCACCTGGATGGCAGTGAGTTTGGCGTTCTTTAGAGTAAGCTTGTGTCCCCCCATGGGGGGTGGGGTGTGTGTGAGAAAGAAGTCCGTCTGAGGATTAAACTGACTCCAAATCTTAGTGGGCACCACTTTGCCTTGGTCTCTGTCCTGAGCGGCTGGTGGCTCTGAATGCCGGGAGCAGGTCCATCCAGACACAACTTCTGGAGGACAGGAGCCTGGAGTGGGGGTCACCTTCGTGCTGCAAGAGACTCCGGCAGGTCTCCCTGCTCTCCCTCCACGTGGCATGAAGAATTACGCCCCTGGGCACTGGGCTCGGATGGCACTTGTCCAGAACAGCAGAGAGCTAGCCGGGCCATGTTTCTGACTCCTGGGCACACCCTACGCCTCAGCCAGAAAGAGGGAAGGGGCGAGCTCCGGTCTGGGTGACCAAGAGCTGAATGAGTGTGCTTCCTTGATTGACGTACAGCTCCCTGCCCCGCCCCGGCCCTGTCTGTCTTCAGTGCTCGCACTCAGTTGAACCACACTGTTGTCCATGTGAGGAGTCCTAGCACTGCAGCACTGGGTTACGCACCGGCTGCCAGTCACAGGGTTGGGCTTCAGGCCTGATCAGAAAGATGAAACCATCTACGCCCATGAAGATTGACATCTCAGAAACCCTATGAGCAGTCCCCTCTGTCCATGGCAGCAGGGCTTTGGGGGTTGTTGTTTGGGGGCATTTACGTTTGTTGCAGCGGTTCTCAACCTGTTGGTTGCCACCCCTTTGGGGGTCGAATGACCCTTTCATAGGGGTCACCAATTCATAACAGTAGCAAAATGACAGTGATGAAGTAGCAACGAAAATGATTTTATGGTGTTTGCTTGGGCAGCACATATACTACAATAATGTTCTGGCTGGGGGTCACCACAGCGTGGCGGGAGGACGGTTGAGAACCCCTGCTCTGTGGTAAATGCACACGTGAGCATCGCCTCCTGCAGTCACCTGGGGAGAGCACGACACGCCGTGAGCTCTGTCTGACCTCCCAGGGTGATTGTCCCCCAGACGCTCCTGGCTCTCCGTGGACACTCACGGCTCTGGCAGAGCAAGAAGCTGCCATTTCTTTGCCAAGCTCAAACGAGGGGTCTCCATCTGTGGCCGAGGTCAGCGCCTCATGTGTGCTTCCCGCGGAGCGACTCGGGCTCCCCTGAGCTACGTGAGGAAACAGAACTCCTTGGAGCCTCCTGGAAGTCTTGAGTTCATAATGTCATTAAGAAAGGGCGGTTTGGGGGTGTTTTTTGTTTTGTTTTTCTTTTTGGTATTTTAATTACATTGCTTCCTATTTCTTTCTTTCTAAACTTGTTGTGAATTAGGTGAACATGCTTGGAGCCATAGTTGTACATTACTCAAGTCCGTGCACATTCCGATTGGGCTTGTCCATGCCACCTCCTCCCATGTTTCCTGTTCCCACCTTCCTCCTCCCAACCCTCCGTACCTGGGCAAAGCTGCCCCTTGGCTCTTCAGTGGTTGAGTTTTCTGACAAGGGATGAGCTCCACTCCCTCCCTGAAGGGTGACGCCAAGCCAGAGTCTTGACAGGCGGGGGGCGGGGTTCCAGCAATCTCTGGCTGGTCTCTTTTATGATTTTGTTTGCTCCGCATTTTTCTCCCACAAACGTGATCCTTTTCAGAGCAGTTGGTAGTGGTAGGAAAAATTCTTTATATGTATGTTTGGGGGTGGGGTGGGGGACACTATATCAAAGCCTTGTAAAATGCTGTGATTTGGACAAGATTGAAAGCTTGGAGACACACCCCCACCCACACCTCACCCCCCAACCCCCCACCCCCACCCCCGCAGCCTAGCCATAGGCATGTTGTGGTCACTTCCTGTTCCTGGGCTATCAGTTTGTTAATATTCACCTCCTGGGGTGGGAACCCTCTTCGGCGACTGTTGCCCATGGCCCCTTCTTGAGCCTGTTCCGAGCTCCTGCCTCCCAGAATTGACGCCGAGACCAGGGCCTCCTTCTCCAGCCTGAGTGCCTTTGTTTTTGTCTTTTTTTTCCTTTTATCCCATGGTTGGCCTATAGTTTGAACTTGAACGTCCCGATTAAATCTCAACTCTGTGTCCTTGGCAGCTTTCCTCTGTGCCCTCCATTGATTTCCTCATCTGTAAAATGGGCTGGCAATGATTTCCACATCATGACGTAACAAGTGGGTAGCTGTTATTACTAGTGGTTATCGATGGGTTTGCCCATGCCCTCTTTGCATTTCCCTTTGGCCCCTTGCCTGCAGGGGGAAGGACGGACAGGCATGAGGCAAAATTTGTTTCCTGGGATCCCCACATTCGTATCTAGCCCGTCCCCAGTCAGGCAGGATAAAGTGTTAGCCTTGGGTCCTCCAGTTCTGTACAAGATCCTTTGTGCAGATGAAGAGACTGGGGCCGACGAACCGGTGTGCTGTGCCTGGGCAAACAGGCCGCGAGGAGCCGCCTTAGGGCTTCCTTGTGCCCGGCTCCAGGTCTGTGCTCGGCCCCTCGTCACCTGGTCCTTGGGGTTGTATGTCCCCCGTCTCCCCCCACTGACGGCTGCCCTCTGTCTCCCTCGTGCAGAAGAAGTTAGAAAGCCTGAAGAGCTTAGACCTTTTCAACTGCGAGGTCACCAACCTGAACGACTACCGAGAAAACGTGTTCCAGCTGCTCCCGCAGCTCACGTACCTGGACGGCTACGACCGCGACGACAAGGAGGCCTCCGACTCGGACGCCGAGGGCTACGTGGAGGGCCTGGATGACGACGACGACGAGGACGAGGACGAGGATGGTGCGTGCCGGGGGCCCATGATGTGGCCGGGAGCGGGCTGTCTGTGGGGCTCCCGGTGGCTCTCCTGGGGCTGGGGCCGTTGTTGCCCTTTCCAAAGCGGCCCAGGGAAGGCGCTGCCGTGCTGCCTTGGCAGTGCAGCCCTGGGCTCAGGCAGCCTTTCAAAGAGGGATAGAGGGAAGTGGGGTACGGCCTCAGGGCCCTCTGTTCCCATCTGTGGCCTCAGGAAGGAAATGGGGGGTGGCCTGGAGTGGTGTGGCACCCCTTGGTGGCTGCAGCCCACAGGCTAGGACTTGGGCTGTGGCCTCAGAAGCCCCAGC